TAGAATAGCGATTTAAGTGTGAATTGCGACTTCTCTTTGTGTTAAATCAGCCTCAGACTCCGATAGCCGGTGGGAGGTTGGAGGGACAGTTCAGTGCTGTATCGTGCGCGCAGGACAATAGGCCTAGGTGTTAATGTTCCTCTTTCATATGGAGAGCGAGGGAGACTAAATAAACTTGTTAAAAAGAGATTCAGCGCGAGAGAGGCAAAGAAAAACGCATGTTTTAATTTAATTATGTTGCTTTGGACAATTTTCGTTTTGTAGGCCTACTGTTTTAATTGTTTAATATAGCTGTCATTTCTTTGGCAATACAAATTTAAAATGTCGCAAGAATAAGATTAGCCTAGTGTTTCTTATTTTGCATCGCAAAAGAAATAAACTCTAAACCCGATGCAACCCTGTTTTAAATAAAAAAAACTGTCCCGACACTTTATTTGAACCTTGAAATGTTCGAACTTGGTTTCAAACTTAAGTAATTTTAGTGTTCTTTTACATTACACAATAATTTAGCAGACTAAAGACGAGCTTCTTCATTTTCATTTTCTGATGCAATCGGCTGACAATCTTCCTTCATCAGTTTTTGTCCTTTGTGCAGCGCTGCGGTTCCAGGAATGTAGCAAATTTATGTTGTAATAATAATTAAACAAAACTCTTGACTTTAAATAAGTAAACAGTTATAAACAGTTAGCTATTTAAGCATCAAGAAGGTTAAATATAAACGCTGTTGGCCAACATCGGTTAACAACATGAATGCTACATTGAGATTCGATCTCGAGTCGATTGAAGCTCCTCGAAGCTCGTGTTGTTGCGTTAACCACTGAGCTATCGTCTGTACGTCTGTAAATGTTTTTATTGCAATGTTTTACTTTTTCATTATTTATTCAATTTCATTTCAGTAGCCTAATTTCAGTATTGTGATTATGAATTATTTTAACTACGTTTCACTTGTTGAATTCATCTGCTACCAGCTTTCAATCGCTCTGAATCAGTGCGGTGCGGCAGCAGATTACGCATTAGAGAGAATAAACAAACACTTTTCAGAGTCTATGATTGTAGCGCCTCTTGGCGGTAAAAGGCAGAAAATACACCCCACATTTTACCGCCGCGGTGGAACGGCTGATGTGGGCATTGTCATGGCTTGCCTCAACATTTGCGTTTGAATAGCGCGCGTCCTCCGTGGGCGTGTCAGATTAACGCGTAATGAAGTGTAATGAGCTGGGGAAAAAAAATCTGACAGCACTCTCTTTTCATACAGATTACATAAACTGAGAATATTAGTTTTTTATATAAATTACTTCATTGAAAAGAAGAGAATTCAAGCTTCATAAAGAAAAATCTCTCGTGCCTGTATGACAAGTATTTGCAGAGTTAGAGTTAATTTTTCGGACGTGTTTCAGAATGGACTGCACTGACAGAGAGAAGGCAAAACTCGCATCATGTTTATTTTTCTTTATTTGACAAAAAGCACAAAACTTTGTTTTTATTGTGAGTATACAGAAAAATAATAGACAATTAACAGGATCGATTGATGTATAACACTTATATGTACGATCAAAATCAACAGAGTATTTTAAGTCTATTTTTCTGCTATGTGAAAAAAAAACGGCAAAACGCGCGGGCGCGTTTCTGGTCCCCAGAGGGTTAAACCTCTGTGTTCTGGGCAGAAATCTGTGAACTAAATCTTCATTGATGACGCGCATCCTGTATGTTTTCTTTATTTAGCAAAAAGTACGAGATTTAATTTTATTTGTATACACTCAAAATAAAAACTTATCTGTATGACCAAAATTCACTGAGTATTTTGAGTCTCTTTCGCACTGATAAGAAAGAAAGCGAGATGTGCGAGATGGCGCCAAACTTTTAGCATATTGTTCAGGGTCCATTTCTTTTGAGAGTAACTCCGTAGTTAGAACTAACAATCCTGCAACTCACAACTGACGAGTATATAATTCAGAGATATTTTCAGCCTATTAATAGATTTTTTGTATGATACTAATAGATTTGTTACAGCAATTAATAGATACAGCAAAAGTATCAAACCACATTGTTTATATTGTGTTTACATGTACACTCACCTAAAGGATTATTAGGAACACCATACTAATACTGTGTTTGACCCCCTTTCGCCTTTAGAACTGCCTTAATTCTACGTGGCATTGATTCAACAAGGTGCTTAAAGCATTCTTTAGAAATGTTGGCCCATATTGATAGGATAGCATCTTGCAGTTGATGGAGATTTGAGGGATGCACATCCAGGGCACGAAGCTCCCGTTCCACCACAGCCCAAAGATGCTCTATTGGGTTGAGATCTGGTGACTGTGGGGGCCATTTTAGTACAGTGAACTCATTGTCATGTTCAAGAAACCAATTTGAAATGATTCGAGCTTTGTGACATGGTGCATTATCCTGCTGGAAGTAGCCATCAGAGGATGGGTACATGGTGGCCATAAAGGGATGGACATGGTCAGAAACAATGCTCAGGTAGGCCGTGGCATTTAAACGATGCCCAATTGGCACTAAGGGGCCTAAAGTGTGCCAAGAAAACATCCCCCACACCATTACACCACCACCACCAGCCTGCACAGTGGTAACAAGGCATGATGGATCCATGTTCTCATTCTGTTTACGCCAAATTCTGACTCCAGTCTTCAACTGTCCAATTTTGGTGAGCTCTTGCAAATTGTAGCCTCTTTTTACTATTTGTAGTGGAGATGAGTGGTACCCGGTGCCCTTACAGAAAAACCCCATGAGTTTCACATGTGCAAAAACACATGTGATCCCATGTGACAACGTGGATATGTGATTTTGCACATGTGAAATTTAACATGTGAAATATGTGGAACACATGTGCTTTGCACATGTTAAAGGTAATTTGCACATGGGAAACGTGTGCTTTTGGAACATTTTCATGTGAAACCCATGTATATTCCCATGTGAAACCCATGGGATTGCATGTGAAACCCATGTGATTACATGTGAAACCCATGTGATTACATGTGAAACCCATGGGATGTGAAACCCATGTGATTACATGTGAAACCCATGTGATTACATGTGAAACCCATGGGATTGCATGTGAAACCCATGTGATTACATGTGAAACCCATGTGATTACATGTGAAACCCATGGGATTGCATGTGAAACCCATGTGATTGCATGTGATTACATGTGAAACCCATGGGATTGCATGTGAAATGTAAAATTCCCATGTGAAATCCATGAGCTTACATGTGAAACGTAAAATTCCCATGTGAAACATTTAATCACATGTGAAACCCATGAGATATCATGTGAAATGTAAAATATCTCATGTGAAACCCATGGAATGACATTTGAAACCCATCAACAATCCATGTTAAAGCTACACACCATGTAAACCTGTAACTTCATGTGAAATCCATGTAAAAATCATTAAGCAATATACCACAGAAAACGGTAGGCCTACCATGTTCTTGTGTAGGGTCTATAGCCTAATGTTTCCCAACATTAAAACAAATAATTCAAATTTATTTTTTTAAATTTATTCACTTTTTATTTCATTTCAAAATATGCAATACAAATTGAATGTTTAAAACAAACAAAGCAAAACCAAATTAAAATTATACATAAAAAGCCGCAAAAAACGCAGGTATACGCGCATGTGTGTGTGTGTGGTGTGCGTTTGTGAAAGTGTGTTGTCTCAGTCCTTTGTGTCTCCTGCAGCAGGCATCCTGTTTTGGGATAGAAAAAGATCAAAGATTAGGGCAGTGCAAACCATAGACTGTAAAAAAAAATATGGACGTAGTGTCCGTGACGTCACCCCGTAGGTTTCTGAAAAGCATTTTTGAAGCCTAAAGTGGATGGGGCTTAATAATTAATTATTATTCATTTGTAATGTTATTATGTCATTAAAGGTTTTACGTAAATATGCTATTGTAAGGGGTATACAGTCAAAGACCCAGAACCAGATATGAAGAATGAAGACCCGGAGTCAGAATTATAAAAAATGAAAGAAAAGTTTTAATGAAGATAGTTAGCATTTTCATCAGCAGAAGTCAGCTTCAAGACTCACACAGGAGTTCGTAGGCCGCCCCGCTTACAGTTACAAAGATCACAGCAGTTATACCATTTCCAAGGTCTAAGCTACGTCATTGCTTACAGGTTGAATGATTCTCATTGGCTAAGAAACATGAAAGCCTAAACAATTTAACACATGTGAGGAGATAGGGGTGCCTATCGCCATTAGTAAAGATAGTTGTCGTCCACTCATTGGATTTAGGTCTGTGGTGGCCTCGCAGGTTAGAGAAGGGCGCCGGGGTGTCTGGTCCGACCGTCCAGAACCTACATAGAATGTCATACGCACACACACACACACAAATAACAGACACTAGCAAATAACAGCTCCCATCAAGGCTGAAGAGAGTCTGAGCTCCTTATTATCAGTTAAGTATACCAAAACATAATGCTAAAACATTCACTCGTTTGGGAGAAAAACAGATAACTGACATTTACTCCCAAGGAAGGAAATATACTGGAAAGAATACATTTTAATACAACAATTAAAGTTTGACAGTAACGCTCAATATAGCTTGACCATATGTCCAGCGAAGAATCATATGTGCCCACGCTGCCTTTAGGACCCTCTAACCTTTCTACTGATCCCAGAGAAAGAGACAAACGGCCTTGTGGGTTACGTGGCCTTCGTGTCCTGCGTGTACTACGTGCAATCTCAAAGTAAGATTGGAATGCACCTAAAAGAAACTGGTTACTTGCATCCATGCATTTAAGAAAATATTATTTCACAAGCACAAGAATATAAAAATTATTATGTGATAATGAATATATTTGATTATTGATTTTTATAAAGGAAGTATATAACCATTCAAAATGATATATGATTATATATGTATTTGAAGAGGCAAGGGATTTTGACCAACCCTTCACTATGGAAATACATCTTGCTTAAACAACTGTATAAGACGAGTGGTGTGTCTCATTTATAAAAAAAACTATTGACAGTTTGTGAATAGATCACAATGTAGACTGAGGAATAAACTGAGTCATCAGTCCTCGCGCATGTCGGTTTCGCAAATGTGAACAGACCACATGGGGATCACACTTGGATGTTGGATCGTCTGAATATTACCTTTCTGCTCGTCTCCTCAGATCATTTAACTTTTGTGCCATGCAGACCTTGATCTCAGTGCCTCCGATGCCTGGGTGCCTCTTTTTGACATGGTCTGTAAGAAATGAGATTGATTACATTAAAATTTGAAAACAAGTTTGACATGACGTGACATAACTGCCAGATTCAAACTGTGCTTTCCGCGCTATGGCTGGCGCTGACGGACGCGCTCAGCGCTTGTCATATATAATTACTATTGATAAAAGATATTCAGACATGCTTACCAATTATTAGCTGCACCTTTTGTAGGTCAAGGCACTTTTTTCACCAACAACCCCTTTTTTTCCGTTCATGCTGCCATCTCTTCGAAAGAGAAGATGGAGTCCATAAGAGTTCTGGTTAACTTTTTGTAGCCCTTACATCTTTGAGCATGATCCAAAACAACTGGGTTCATTAAGTCAGTCACAGACTTGTTCTGCAAAGCAAAAAATAAAATAAAAAATAGAAAATTTTCGTCAGGACAGAAACCGTGATCTTTTCAACGTTATTGCGTATTAGGTGAGGTTTTCACTTTGGAGCTGTGAGTGTAAATTTTAGCATACAAGTATTTATTGTTCATGCTCGAGTCTTTTTACTCTTTTACCTTCATAGTTATTCCAGAGTTTAGGGGTAAAATGCGAGAAATCTCCTTTAGTGGACTTAGATATGCTGGGCACTACTCACTGATCTATATAAATGACTTGATTGCTCATGACGTCATGTAAATTGAAGTCACCATATTCTATTAAATTAATAGGAAATCATCTGACTTTAATGAGTAAACATGACCTAACGAGTCAGTGTTTTTTATATTTGAATACTATACATTCTTACCATGTAAACATCCAAAACATTTCTGATTATTATCAATGTTGAAAACAGTTGTGCTGATTAATGTGTTTGTGTAAACCATTGTAACAGTTTAAACCATTTTCCCCCCTCCAGGATTCATTGTTAAATAGACCACAAACATATGAAGGGTAGTTTACACTAATGTTCAAACATTTGGGGTCAATGATAGATTTAAAAATGAATAGAAAAAAAAAGAAGAAATTCATATTTTTACTCAGCAAGGATGCATTAAATTGACCAAAAGAGAGAGTAAGGATTTCTGTTTCAAATAAATGCTGTTATTTTAACCTTTCTATTCATCAAATAATCCTGAAAAACACAAAAATATGAAGCAGCACAACTGTTTTCAACACTGATAATAATCATAAATGTTTTTTGAGCATCAAATCGTCATATTAGAATAATTTATGAAGGATGATGTGAAGCTGTGATGCTGAAAATTCAGCTTTGATCACAGGAATTAATTGCATTTTACAATATATTCACATAGAAAACAGTTTTTATTTATTTATATTATTTCACAATATTATTGTTTTTAATGTTTTTTTGGTGAACATAAGAGAAAGAGACATAAACATTTGTACCAAGACAATTAGTGTATGTTTGACATTAGTGTATGTTTGGCGTTTTACTTACTAATCATATGGTTCATCAATAGTGCTTTAGAGATGAAGATCAGCTCCACTCCGCTATGTTGCAGGGCATCAGCACTGAAGGATCTAAGAACACAACAAGCCATTTGTCACTGAGCCAACAATGCAATGCCAGGTTTATTGAAAGGAAAGAAGCTACAGCAGAGGTGAAATGCAGAAAAGAGAAAGAATTTAAAGAATATACAGAATATAATTTCTTAACTAGGATAACAGAATTTGTTTTGGGGTTTATTATTCATTTAATTTTGCTCATACGGTGTAACTTCGTTTGGATGTCAAAACCTTCTTAAAATAAACAATAAAAAAAATAAATTTTAGAAATAAAATGAGGTTATTTAATGAGCTTCCTCGGCTCACCTGTGTCCTAACGTTACTTCTCCGGCAGCAGCTTTCTTCAGAAATGTTGAAGTCGTGGAGGCGCTTTCTCTCTGTTATGGGTTATTTTGTTACTACTGAAATCACAGAACATTTTTTAATCAAAATGTGTTTAACGTTACCATTGAGCTAACGTTAGTTTCAGCCAATTTTCTTGCTCCTGAAAGTAACATTACCGATACGTTATGTTTACGTTTGTGTTAAATAAATTAGCTCACTTCCAAGTAAAACCTTTACAAAACCTCTCATCTACACATAAGAGGTGATTAAAAGCCCAAACTTTAATAAATAAAAGTTTAACCGAGTTAACGATACGTTAGCCTAGCTAACGTTACCTCTTCTGAAAACGGTTGAGATCCTAACGGACTTTTTACGAAGACACTACACCATGTCTATAAAGTAAATTTTTAACAGAATCGTGTCAATTACAAGTAAGAGAAATGTCAAAAACAGTTGTGAGTATTATTCGTGTGATTTTAGAGACTAATCTCACCTGGAAAAGGCCGTGAAAAGTTGAAACAACATCGAGAGAGGGAGTTTTGTTGCTTACCAGTAGCAGTGGTCCCGCGCCGTTTCCATGGCAACTCTGCGCGCCGGCCGCTTGAGACTCGAAAGTTCACGCGCACGGCATTACGTCAAAATCATGCAGCACTTAAAATGAAAAGTTTAATATACACTTTATTTATTTGAAAACGTGCTTGCAATATTTTGTATACCATCACTTTGCTTTTGATTTTATTTTTAATATAAATAGCCTATATATAAAGCCAGTCTTTATAGTGCTTTCAGATTATCTTTCAATGCATGGTACACACACACACACACACACACACACACACACACACACACATATATATATATATATATATATATATAGGCTATATATATATATATATATATATATATAAAGATGTCCTGAAAGTGCTTTGTAAATAGAATATGAAAGCAGTAGCCTATTGATTATATCAAATATAATATTATACTGTTGATTATGTAAAATATATTTATAATATAGCTTTAGAAACGGTAAACAGTGTTGAAAAAAGTATTGCAAAAACTCACTTGATTAAAAACTATACGCTTCATTATCTTTAAAATATTTTCATTAATATATTTTCACATTAGTAGGCAAATGTGGGCCTACACATGCATTATAAGCTTTGTTCTATGCATTTTGTGTGAATAAGGCTATTGAAGCTAAAAATGTACAGTATTTGTGACGTGGTAACATAATTCACATGTTAAAACCTATTACAACGTGCAAATATATTTCACATGAGCTCCACATTATTACCTATAACATGTTTTCCACATGTGCCACATGTTCCATTAAGTTCACATGTGGTGACATGTTGTTCACATGTGGTCGAACATTACTCGCATGTGGTGACATGTTGTTCACATGTGGTGAAACATTGTTCACATGTGATGACATGTTGTTCATATGTGGTCACATGTGGTCAATTCATGTGTTTTTTCTGTAAGGGTGGGGTCTTCTGCTGTTGTAGCCCATCCGCCTCAAGGTTGTGCGTGTTGTGGCTTCACAAATGCTTTGCTGCATACCTCGGTTGTAACGAGTGGTTATTTCAGTCAAAGTTGCTCTTCTATCAGCTTGAATCAGTCGGCCCATTCTCCTCTGACCTCTAGCATCAACAAGGCATTTTCGCCCACAGGACTGCCGCATACTGGATGCTTTTCCCTTTTCACACCATTCTTTGTAAACCCTAGAAATGGTTGTGCGTGAAAATCCCAGTAACTGAGCAGATTGTGAAATACTCAGACCGGCCCGTCTGGCACCAACAACCAGCATGCCACGCTCAAAATTGCTTAAATCACCTTTCTTTCCCATTCTGACATTCAGTTTGGAGTTCAGGAGATTGTCTTGACCAGGACCACACCCCTAAATGCATTGAAGCAACTGCCATGTGATTGGTTGATTAGATAATTGCATTAATGAGAAATTGAACAGGTGTTTCTAATAATCCTTTAGGTGAGTGTATGTGTATAATGAGGAATTTCAGCCTCTTGGTAACACCACAATCCTGTAAAACTATCATATATGGTTTAATTAATAGTGTATGTGATCATTAGAGTTTTGTGAAACACTAAATCTGTGGACTTCTGTCTAAAACCATTAAGCCCTAAAAGGCTTGTTTGTTTTTTTGTTTTTTTTAGAAATTGATTTAATTGGATTTTTATTTATTCTGACAAAGAAAGCGGCTGTAGTAATTTTCATTTTTGATTCGACAAGCTTCTGGATGCCATCCGAGAGCTTGAGAGTTTGTAGCAACAGGGAACTGAACTTTACAACTTTTACATATACAAAATATTTTTGGAATGGATTTGGATGTTTTAATATACAAGTTGTATAATATGTAACTTGTAAAATAAAATTTTAAAAATTATTTTTGTAAACTCATTTTGCAAAGCACCTGAACTAACTTATATTGCACTTTTAAAATAAAGCGTTGGTTTTTAATGCATTGGAAGATGCTCCTCAACTGCTTAAAAAAACCTGCAAGATGCTAATGAGATACAGTTTGAAGGTTATGGTACTGTGCTGTGTTATGACTATTCAAATATGCTTTAAGTCCAACCCATTTTAATTGTTCACAATTTACATGATTACTCTGAACCCGCTGATTATGTATTTCAGACGGTGAACCACAATTTGCACTAAATATGATAATTAACATAATTGTAGGGGAATAATTGGGCAATTCCTAATGCTTGCTTTCCATAATGTTATCATAATAATATCCCTTCTGCTTCAGTGGCTCTTTTTAGAAAAGGTCTTCTTGTCTTGTTTCTTGGTTACAGTATGAAATCTTTTAACTATTTCTTCTTCTTTTTTTGGAGATGACATAATTGGGTCATTGCCAAAGGAGATTTAGGTGAGTGTGAAACAGAAGCAGACTCTGTTGTTGTGAGTTTGAGTTTGGGTTAGAGTAGTTTACCCAGAAATAAAATATTGCCATCTACTCGCATTCATGCGAATCCAAAACTATGATATTTTCTTTCTGCTTTAGAACACAAAGGAGCAGAATGGATATGTACTAGAAATGTGACTAACGTCCAAATGTTAGTCCATACAACCTTTGTATATTCCAACTTCTCTAAAGGCAAGATTTAACCCTTTATGGTATGGAGTTGCCATATGGCAACAATTAATTTCTACTCATTTACTTGTTATTCAGAAAAAAATGCAATATATTGCATAAGGCTGCAAAAACAAAAATCCCCAATTTTTTCACAAAAAGAAAAAAAAATCCCCCCTACTTAAAATCAATCTGCAGATGACAAAGAAAGTTTTAACTTTATTTTGTTTTGATTTTCCCTTCTGGGATTTGATCTGGATTTCACATTTCCAAGCGCCAAAACGGTGTTTGTTTGCATTTCATAATTAAATTGACAGAATCTGAGAGCTGAGAATTAGTTTCAGATCAATAGTAACCTTTTGTCTGTCGGTGTCAGTGTCTTCTTTGCTTCGTGATTTTTCTCCTAGTGAGAAAATGGATGTGTGGCGTGAGAGTCTGTAAAAAGTGACAATTACGATTGTGAACAAAAAAATTGTCTCATGCTGAATGAGTGAGAGTTGGCAGCCCTGCAGATTCAGTTTGTAAATGTTTTCGGCGGGTGTGCTTGTGCTGCCGCTGTCTTGTTCATTTGCCATGTTGTTTGTGTATCTCTATGGCAAACGCTGAGCCCGTTTGGAACTACGGGAGCCCAGAGGAGAGCGTCGGCGGATGTTAAAGAGAAAACCGATTTTCATTCAAACAAATCGACGTAAACTACACATTCGAGTTATCGATAAAATCGATTTATCACCCAGCCTTAATATTGCACTATGGGAATTAAAAGGGCAGGCCTTAAAGGGATAGTTCACTTTGAAATTAATTTTTGGTATGTTTTAGCTTACCTCAAGGGCATCCAAGATGTAGGTGTCTTTGTTTCCGCAGTAGTTTCAATTTTGATATTTTTAGGTCAAACCGTTCTTGTCTGTCAGTCATATAATGCAGGTCTATGGGCACCACCTCAAAGAGCATGCACAGAGAAGTCCAAATTAAACATGATTTAATGACTCGTAAATGTAAGTACACATTGATGGCCTAAGACACGAAACGAGCGGTTTGTGTGAGAAAACGAACAGTATTTATATCGTTTTTACCTCTTGATGATGCACTTGAATGATGCACTTGAAGCAACGCAAAGTCACAGCGCGCAGCGCTTCGCATTGAGAAGTCCAAAGCACAAAGCGAAGAGATTATATCTATCTATGCTTAATGTATTATATCTATGCAACAGTTTATTGAGCCTTTTCTTTTAACAGTTTTAAATTTCAGTTACAGTGTGCATGAAGAACAATTCATAGCACTCTCTACTCCAGTGCTGTAATCTAACAGACACCCGGGAGAAAGGAATATGATTTCGAAAGCGCTATAAACTCCAGCAAGATAAAGTAATTTTATGCAAACCATAGACCTTTATCTACAAATAAAGAATAATAATGGGAATTGATCTTGAAGAGAGTGCCGTCGTGTTACTGTCGTAACCGAACGTGACGCGCTGTTTGAATGCTGAATGGAGAATGACTGAGGAGAGATGAGTTTCCATTAACTTCAACTTCACGACTTAAATATTCATTTTTACCTCACATTATGCTATTGAATGACTTTAGAAGTGTTGGAATATAGTGCGAAAACTGTATGGTGCTTTACAATGTTTTTTAATGCCTTTAGCTTTACAATAACACAATAGTAGCCTATGCACAATATCAGAGCTCACTGAGAAGCTGCAGCCGTGGCGGGATGATTTTAGGTGTGGCGGCGCGCCACGGCAGAATGAATGTAGCGGAAACACTGCATAGAGGGGTAAGTCTCTGAATTCCTGCCTTATAAAGTTTTGAGCAACTTGGTGATTAGATGACATAATTTGGATGAACTTTCTTTCAAAATTATGACCTTCCACAACTATTACCAATGAAATGTGCTTTTCCCCACAGAGCTACAAAGCTCTTAAAATAATAGTTCTGAGATGTGTAGACATGGGTAATGGTTTTCACAGAGCAAGCAGAGAGCCCAGAGCCTTCGTAAGTTTGACCAGTGTGACTTGATTGATTAATCCTACACTCTAAAACAAAATCCGTAAAAATAGGGCACAACTTTTAGTAGGATCCTTACTAAAAGTGTACGTGCGCCCGAAAGCCAAAAATGGCGTACTCAAAAAAATATTCAGACTTATAAAACCTGTGCAGAATTCACTTTATAAATCCCAGTCAGCAGAAGATTGTGCGCACATGCGTCTCCTCCCCGAAATAACCAAATATGGAGCTTACAACGCCTAGTTTTACTATGCATATCCTCATCTGCATATCATTTGCATATGATTATTCATCCACGTGATAACATGTTTAACGGTACAAGACATTAGGAAAATATGAAATACGGATGTGCCGTCACATTACATTAATAAAAATAATTTACGGTAGTAGCCTATACTTGCCTTGTTTTTGAATAAATTAATCAAATAGTATAAAATACATTTCAGAGAAAGTTTTTCTCAATCTTTTCCACTGGCCAAATAATATTTTTAA